TGGGATTCCTCACTCAGGGCGGCATTAAGGACCACACTTTACTGGCAAATTGTAGAAAAATAATAGGGTCATATATAAATACTCATTATTCTCTTATTTGTTGTGTTTCTAATATTAAGTACATATTTTTTCTAAGAAATGTTTTGAGGAGGCATGCATTGTCTACTTACAAAAGAGGGCGGAGAATAATTAGATTCTTTAAAATTTTGTTATTCTATTATTTAGACATTCCTAAAAGTAATATTTTTTTCTAAGACTTTTATACTAGTTTTTATAATTAAATTTTAGTTGTTATAACTAAACTTTGGTTTTTAATTAAATTTTAGTTTAAAAAAATTTAAGTTCTACCCTGTCCTTGTATGACTGTCATAAGTCTTTTCAGGTACTCGAGGGGGCAAAAATCACCCCGGCTTTTATTTATGACTGTCATAAAAACCGATCTGGATGTGGAAGAGTATACATGGTTACAATTCTTTGTTGTTATGTTAATAGAGTTAAAATACAACTTACTTTGCGTTTAATTAAATAAAAAATATCACTAAACAAACATCTTAAAAATTAAATCAGACGAAGTTAAAATTGTTAAATTCAACTAAAAACTTTTTAATTTAACCGCATGGAAATGAACATAAAATAGTTGTACGATTGACAAGACAGGACCGATTGTAAGTGGAATTTCAGGTGTTGGCGAGGTTCATAAGCGCAAGCGCACGTGCAGGAATATAAACAGGTCAGGTGATAACAGGAAAATTAAGATGGAAAATTGTATGCAACAACATAAAGACACACAACACAGTACATATAATGGAACTAAAGAAAAGCGTGGAAACATCTATTAATATTGAAATCGGCAATGTCGTTCATAAGTATATTGTCATTGTTGTGTATTCATTTGATTTCTTTAGACCTATAATCAGTTTGTCATTTTGAAATTGTATTTTACGTTTATATTCTTGTATGTGTTTATGAACGGCGGATCTTGAACTGGACAAATGTTCTTTGAAGCGAGTGTATATATTTCTTCCCGTCTGGCCTATATATATTTTATTGCATTCAGGGCATTCGATCTGATAGACGCCACTTGATTCCTCTTTTTTTATGTTTGGCTTTATTATTAATTAAAAAGTTACTAATTTTATTATTAGATACAAAAGCAAGGGACAAATTAAATTGTTTATTAGTTTATTCTCCAAAATGGGGTGAAATGGAAGCAATTTTGAGTTGCTTTTAATATTTGGATAAATGAGGTTGTTAATTCTAGAACTTATAGATATTTTGTAAAATATTAATAGAGTAATTGTTATTAATACCAATAGTAATTATCTTCTTGATTTATACTTCTAGGTTATTTTGATTCAAAAGGATGTTATAGATTCTGTTGAACATGAATCGAAAACTGGCATGTTTATGCTGTCTGAGGTTATAAGAATTGTTGGCAATGACATTGTCAGAAAATGTAGCTTTCCTGAAGATATTAAATTCAAGTTTTTGATCAGAAAGGTTCTTGGTAATGTTTAAGTCTAGAAAGTTAATCATATTATCCTTCTCCATTTCAATAGTGAATTCCAAGTTACTAATGTTATTAAAGATATTGTGTAATACTATTAGATTGTTGGGATTAAAAATCTTATATTTGTCAGAAAAAAGTATCTGTTTAAATTTCTTGACATATATATCTGCAAAGATCAAACATTTTAAAAAATCTATTATCAAACGTACTCTTGGTCCGACACCTTCCGGCGTTTTTGATCCATCTGTGTATATGTAAATATCTGCCTGAACAAGAGAATTTTCATTTTCGATCCAGGACTGCCACTCAGGCAGTATAATTTGGTATCGAGCATTAATCACTGATAGTGATCCCGCCAAATCTGACGGCATTAATAGCACAGTATCAGTGCTTATAATGTCTTCCGCAGCCCATTGGTAGGACATGTCGGAACAGTTTTGAGCATATTGCTGAAATCTGTAAATGGTTCTTCTAGACACTTTGTCTATATGCAAATGCAGAGAAGATAGGCCAAGCAGAATCTCCATTGCTAGAGTTGGCGTTGTGCTTATCGCACCAGCGATTGCTAATCCAGCTACTCGTTGAATTCGTGAAAGTTTACTCATAACTGAAGTCTGTCGGACTTTCCTATACCAGGCTGCTGCTCCATATGTGATCATAGGTCTAACCACAGTCACATAGAGCCAGTACAGTCTTTCAGGGGTAGGACCCCAATTTTCCAGTCCACAAGGATAGTCTAGCTTTGTGCAAAACTCTCTGCAAATATCCATTCCATGACAAGGTTTTGTCTAGAATTACTCCTAGATATTTGACTTCCTTTGAGAAGGAATTTCTTCACCTTGGATAGTTAGGCGGATTAGTCCATCCAACTTTCGTTTCCTGGTGAAGGGCACAATAATTGTCTTTTGTGGGTTTATCGAGAGGTTTTCTCCCTTACACCAAGCGCAAATGGTATCTAAGGTCACCTGGAGGATTTTAGATATCAACAACAAACAGGTTCCTTTGACCATAACAACAATGTCATCAACGTAAGCCTGTATTTCTACACCAACGGCTTCGACTATTGCAATCACATCGTCAACCAGAAGGGACCAAAGCAGGAGAGATAGCATGGATGATATTATTATGTTTATGCTTTCATGATTTACTTGTTGTCACGCATCAATTTTAATGCATTCTTTTTAACGTTCCAAATCTGTTTATAAATAAAACGTCGCAATTTGATGATTTGAATCGAAACTCTTCCTGTTTATTTCATAGTAGTGTATTAAGTTTGATTTAAATCTATTTTTGTAGGCCGGAGTAGTATGCTTTACATCTACGTTGGTTCATCGATCGGTTTATTATTTCAATAACGGCGAATCAATGAAGGGATTTATAAATGATACACTGACTGGTGACACATTTTATTTCCTTTTAATACGAATCGTTTATTTTATCGTACCTTTATTGTAGCATTTTTAGTCGAAGATTTCAGCGGCGAAGTGAAAGAAAATTTAGTAAAACAATTTCCAAACGTATCGGTATGTTACTTTAACGGAGCCAAAAACGATTTTGACGATGTCACACCATATCAAAAAGGTGACAAATTTTATCACCTTCTTGCAATGAAATTTGTAGCGGCCGTACTTTATATCGTAACATAAAAATAAGTTATGATGATATGGTATTAACAATTATCATTTTTAGCACGGCGTATATTTTCTTAATAGCATTGTAACTTTTTTTATTCCTAATGTACCATCTGTGGTAACTGAAAGCGAAGCGTACGATGATATGCTGGCAAGAACTAAAGAAATGGAAAGGATAACTTCAGGCAAACGTTAAAGTATTAACCAAATCAAAAATGAATGAGAATTTTAATTTTTATACAATTTAATTTATTGTTGTTTTATTAGTTGTTTTACTTTTATTTTATTGTACACGATATGTATTATATTATATTCGAAATCTTTTTTGATCTAAATATTTAATCTATAAGTACGAAGGCTTTCACGGTTGGTGTTAATTAAACTAAAACTAGAACTAACACTAGACCTAGAACTAGAAACATTCGAGTTTAGCCATGCGTCTTCAGACGAAACTCTAGTTTTTGTTATCGGTGTTTTCTCGAAGAAATTTCCCCGAATCAGAAACGGTTACATATTTTCCTTGGTTATCTTAAACATTCTAGTTCTAGGTCTAGTGTTAGTTCTAGTTTTAGTACCCGGGGAATACCCCGAATTCACAGTAGTACTATTATTATGTAGAACTAATACTATACCTAGATCTAGAATCATTTGGGTTTAGCCGCACGTCTCTAAAGACGGCTAAACCCGAATGATTCTAGTTCTAGGTATAGTGTTAGTTCTAGTTTCACACTAGCACTGTTACTATGTAGAACTAACACTATACCTAGAACTAGAATCATTTGGGTTTAGCCGCACGTCTCTAAAGACGGCTAAAC